GTCAATTAGGCGAAATCGACGGGGATAAATCGGAAGGAGTCGCGATTGAAATCACCGACACGAACGCCACCGGAAATTTTCGGAACGCGCCAAGTGGGACACGCGGCCTGCAAAAGAAAATAAAGGGTAGTCCAGAAGGAGGCTTTAGAATTTTTAGCCTGACGGACTCATTATACTCTGCTCGTTCTACAAATCGCTTCCGAGCCTAGGTTTCGGGAGAAAATTCATTTTTGACATGGCCGTGTGATTAACGAAAAATAGGGTAAAATTATCAAGGGGGAGGTGTGTCGACACACTTACGAAAACTTGAAATGTATTGGGTGTAGAAATGAATTCTGTTGAATGAATTGAAGTTCCTATAAAAAATAGCGGGTGTTCTGTCCTGAGCGGCAGTGTACTTTAGGAAGGAGGCTTAGTTCGTTGCGAATAATTAATGACCAACGGGGAGGCTTCTCGGTGTCCAAAGACGGACCCGAGTTAAATTTTCAACGTGTCCACCGAGGCTGTTAGGGCTTAGCTAATCAGAGAAGATGCTCAACTAGTCTTGTCTCAACACGTGGCTGACGGAATTCTGTCCTACGTCAGACTTGAATGCAAACTAGGGACGTTTCAACACACAGGGCAACCAACATTGTTCCACTTACAAACAAGCTATCGAATAGCAGTGATAGTAGTATTGATAACTGTAGCAGTAATCGTGATAATAGTACTAAAGCAACCTAGATGTCAGAAGATAAAACAAAACTAAATCCACTCGCGACTACACACGTTCCATGATTCCCATTATATCGTTTTCCCAATTACCGTTACACTCTGCTATCATACTTCCACATAATGTTAAAAGTGGCCCCAAAACAGTTAATCCAAGACGTCCCCCAAAAAGTAGCTCAATTCAACAAACAAAAAAAAAAAAAAAAAAAAAAAATTATAAATCTCCCATATAATCATAACACGTAATTGCGTCTGACAAGCGCCCCAATTACGTGCCGAAAACAGGAGAACGGAACGGGATCCGTGGTCGCGTTACGCGCGTCCCAACCCACAGGCAGCGAAAGACGTCCGAGCGCGATTAATCACGAGTCGCCAACCCTTTGTCGCTTCGCAAACGAAACGCTCGAGTCGCGAACGGCGGCTTAATCCGTCGATCGCGTAGGATCGTCTCGTTCCACGGTTACGGATAAACAACCGAAATGAATTCCAAGGGTGGCTTGAGGGACAACAAGCGCCACGGAGCCGGCCAGTCTCGTAGGGGCGGCTAAATTAAGAGCAGAAAGAAGGGAACAGCTTCGAGCGATCCCCGAATCCGCCAGAGGCGAGCCGAACGCTCGTAATGCGAGCCGCTTAAAGTTGCAATGGGTCTCCTGGGTATAAAGAGAGAGAGAGAAAAAAAGAGAGAGTGAGAGACGAGGCGGAGGGGTAGGAGGGGGATTAGGATCGAGTGACTGACTGAGACCAAAAATATGCGACCCGCCTAAGAGATTGGGATCCTCGTGAATCCGAGAAAGTCCGTCGGGACCGATGTTGAATCGCGATGGCCTTCCATCGGACCATTTCCCGAACCTCGCCGAATCGATTCTTTAATTTCGATAACAAGTGGAGGGAGAGAACTTCGAATTTGCCTGACGTAGTATTAAAATAATAGATTGACCCTAGCCAAAGTAGATGTAACGATACCATCAATGACATTAACAATGATAAATGTACTAAACAGTAGCAATTACGATGACAACGGTCATAGTGATTGTAACAGCGGTAGGAACAATGGTGAGAGCAGTAACAGTGCAAGCAGGTATTAATAACCTAACCAGAATCACCATTCCAACAAACCATGATCGCTTTTACACTCACTCGGTACTTGGTCGTCTTTCGAGCAAAGACACGCGCGAATCCGACTGCAAAGTCCAATGGAATTCTTGCAAGACGCAAACCAAAGTACTATCTCACCGGACGAAGATAATGCAAGAAACGAAGAGAGGAGACGGTCGGAGAACTTGAAGGATTAATTAAGGGTTAGCACGGCCCGACAAGCACAACCTGTGTATCCCTAAATACGAACTGCCTCCACGCGTACGAGGATCCCATTAAATCTGGCCGGTCTCTAATGGTTGATGCCACTTCCAGCGAGAATTTCTTCTTAGCGAGATGGATCTACTCGAGTTAATTCCAGAGTTCAAAAGAAAACCTCGCGACGTTCTAGTTTCGGCTTAATTTGCGGCAAGCCACTGGCGACATTTATATATTTGCTACTCTTAATTAAGTTAGCTGACTACCCTTATAATTAAACATTGATTTATCCACAGCGGCGAGCAAAATCGATAAAACCAGCCTTGTTTGTATTAATTAAAGTCGCGCGGATTCCGTTCACAATTAAATATCATCGTTTATTGTTACCACCCGGAGCGTGATTGTTATTTCCAATTTGATACAACTATACCGTCGAATGATCGTTCTGGCTAGGATACATCCGATCGAAACAATTTATTTACAGATGATTTAACCATGATATATTTCCTGTTTCCATTACCACGTAATGAAGGATAAAAGTTAAATAATTTATAAAATATCGTTCGGTAGTAAGTTAAAACTATCCATGATCGCCTACTTTATATAATATTGTAGTGTCCGCGCCTCCCATACCCAACAATAAGGAGTCAAATAAGAACACGAAACGTAGGATACGGGATTGGTCGCGTAGGTAAAGCGGTCGACTGTGGATCCGAGGATCGTGGCTTCGCGAATCCCCGTGCCTTATTTTTCGTTTAAACTCCTACAATATGTATATCTGTTTGGGACCCACTGGCCCTATTATAGCTCGGGTACCTCGGGATTGCTAAACCCGTACTCTGTAGCTACTTATATATGTACGAAAGTGCAATCACTTATTCTTTTATTTAAGTACAAATTAACTCGGACCACCAAAATATTTTCTTCTATGGCAGATAAAACAAGATTCACACAAAGAAGGGTTAAGAGGCTCGAGTCGCTGCTTAATTACCCCCACCCGTTCCTTAACCTACGAAGTTAAAGAGAGCAATCGCCCAGAGACGTAAAAATCCTCTAATTACGCGGAGGCGTTTAACGTCGCTCGAGAATGTTGAGCGAGCAAAGGGTGGCCGAATCGGCGAGCCCTTCGCCGGGCATACGCAGAACGGAAGCTGCCACTAAAGGGACACATTTATGTCTTCCCAGGAGTACGTTAACTAGCTGGCTAGCCGCCGGCCAAACCAACCCACTCACGGTCTTATTCACGGACCGGAGACCCAGCTTCAACTTCCTCTATCCTCCAACTAAAGCCGAATCTCTGTGTTACTAAACGGTAATCGAATCAACGCGGCCGCATCACAATTCCGCGGGAACTCGTACGTCGACGGCGAGGGCGCAATATCGATCATGCTCTCAAGAAACGCGCACGACTCGCGGATAAGTCTGGTTTACTGTAGAGTCGAGATACAGGAGATCGTCTGGGAATTCATTTAGCAGGTTAACTAATTAGTGGGCACCTGCACGTTTCCTCGACAGAATTTTCTTATAATTTCGTTGTAAAAATTAAAATATAATTATATTATATTTTAATTATTTATATGTTAAATTTCTTTACGATTTGTAAACGGCATGATGTACGTCCATTTTTCTTTCAAAAAAAATAGTTTACTTTGTATATTCCACATTTGTTTTTAGTCCATCGAATATGTGTCTTCTCGTGAGCTATAAAAACTGAACACTAAACATTTTTATTTGCGTTTTACCTACGAATGAAGATCGAACTACAAACTCTTCAAAAATTCATTTAAATTTTCCACTTTCCATTATCGATTCGAGCTTACACATTTCTTATAAAAAAAACAATTCTTTGAATGGATCCTCCTTTATATCAATTTTTCAAATAAGTGTAAGCTTGAACTGGTATTGGATGAGCACCCCACGAAATGCGTGCATCTCCCATTTTCGAACCGCTGTCCTAGATCAATCAAATGAAATGGTTAATTGTGTCTGTGACAATATTCCTGTATCTAGTAATGGACTTTGGAGGATTGGTCGAGTAAAACCGAGTCAAACCGAACTCGGTCCTCTGTTACCTCCCCGGTAATCGAATTACATAAGCGTGTGTCGAGTTCGTGGAAACGCACGCTCGTAGAAACCGAATATGCAGTAAATTCTGAAAGTGTCCCCCGAGTACGCTGAAAACCTTAAACTTGATAAAAGGTTGCCTCGATACATCCAATTGCGCGATTAAAATTAATAGGAACGCGTTTCGGGGCACGACGAAGCGTCAAAATTGGCGTGGAATGTCTTTTGGTGAAGCTTTCTAATTTTTGAAGCTTGTCGGGTAGTGTTCTAATGAATTTTTTTAAATTTCCTAAAAGAGAAGTGATATACGTGGAAAAATTGGAATTCTTGCGGAAATAAATAAATAAAGTGGATGCTCGTGCAAGTTCATATTTTCGCTGATACAGATAAAGAATCGAGATTTAAATGAAAATACGCCTTATCTTTTAAACAGCGTACACGTGTATTTTAGTATTGATATTCTATATATTTTATTTCCGCAAAAATGTAAATTTTTGGTCGTGTAACGGCCGCCTAACTTTCCTTGTTAGTTACTGTAGGATCATGCCTCCTCCCTTTATTCGAATAAAACATTGTTAGAGGCTTAGTGGAATCGTCCTAGCACCCACTCGAGTCTCCCAACTGCGTTCAAATTTCCACCGCGTCCGTTCCCCTCGAAGGTGATGCTCGTCTAAAAAATTCAACCCTGAATCTTCTCGGAGCCAAGCAACGAGAACGAGTAACAGAAAGGGAGACAACCCTCTTTATCGCCCGAGCTTCGCTACTTGTTAGGATCTCGTTGGGATCCTACGAGATTTTTATGGGTCACGGGACTACTTAAGAATCCCGGTCTCGGGCTCTTTGAGGTCGCCCTTTCATGGACGGCCGATCGAGCCATAATCCGCGACGCGCAAAGAGAGGAATGAAACATAACGGAATGCATCAACACTCACCGCTGTCGAGGCTGTTCTGGTTCTCCAGGTCTGGCCCATGAACGGACGATGGCCTGCCGTCTTGGAGGTACTCTGCAACGAAATTTGCACTGTCACTTTTCGATGTAACGACATTTTTAGCGAGAAGTAAATATTTCTAAATGTTTCTTGTATTTCTTGCACATTAATCCATCAGTCTACTAATTAAAAAATAAATGGTCGACCTGAATCACAAGAAGATTCATCGAACGAATTCAATGTTACGTAGCCTCGATTCGTTTGATTTTCGAAAACGCGTCGATCGCGAACGTCTTTATCAGCCCTCCCCAGAAATCCACCATCGTAATTTCAAGCGCCCCGGCCCCCCCCCCTCCCCTCCCCTAATAGGGGTCAACATTGAAATTTCATGGGATTTCGGGCGATCGAGCAGAACGGGGGCTCGGATACGCGGCCTACGGTAAGCGGGCCAACGCACACGACCCCTTTGCTACACGAACGTGTATAATACGAGAAAGGGTGGAAAAGAGCTGAGGTAATCCCACGGGAGCCATACCCCGGCGATATTGGCTCCCATAGCCCATTCCTGCGCATAGGAGACCGAACCACCTTGGGCCACCATCGAGGAACACTGACCAAAATTCAAATTTCCCACCGGACGTATGCGCAACTTTAAGCGTAACTTGTGCGAAACAACCGCAATCCCCCTCCCCCTCCCCCCCTGCCCCCCCGGTATAGGTGATCGGTGTGTTTTTCTGCTTCATGAGTATCGATCATGCCCCGAGTGAACGATGGCCCTGGGTGGTGATTCGACTGTACTTTACCAGGAAGAATTGTATTCGTCTTTCTTTTAATCCACTTGGATGAGAATCAATTTAGTCACGGGACCTATTCAATTGACGAGATCACCTTTTATTTATTCAACGTGGAGTACTATTCTCGCGATCGTCAATCTTCGTCATCACCGATTAACCGATACATTTCTACTCTCATAACGGCCTTTCCACGAAAAAAGTAACGCGATTCCCAAGATCTCGAGAAGAAAAAGTCTCGCGGCAAGTGGTCGCATCCGTAACTTCCGCGAGGGCTTTCTCGCGAGTTAATTGTTTATCCAAACGCGTTAATAATTCATTGATAAGACGGCTGAAGGAGCCAGGCAGCGAGTTACGGCGGTAAGCAACCGGCTGCGAAAAGCCGCGGTACTCAAGCTGCCGGAATTATCATCGCTCATAAGTCACCGGCCGAGAACATTGCAGCCGCGCAGTTCGTGGTTTCAGAGAAGAGATAACTCGTATAAATAACCCGGAAGTCCGCCGTGTACAATAGTCTTTTTTTACGAGTATGACTTTTGGGAGTTCCAAGGCCGCGCTTGGGACACTGTTGGTAATCAGTTTCTCGTTGGTACCGAAATATACTGCGTGAACGAGGACCCGAAAAAAAAAAAAAGAAATAAAAAAAAAAACAAATTCCCCCACATCCTGGCATTATAAATTTCCCGTTACGTTATGACGAGACCGGCGGCCGCTGGACGTGGAACAATCGAGCCTTTGAAATCTGAAATTTTGTCCGGGTTCCTTCGTGCAATTATTTCGTTTGAACGACAGGAATAAATGTATGAAATATTTAGAATTTATGTGCTTTGAAGTCGGTGTGCAGGAATGCGGTTCAGTTCTCATTTTGTATCGATAAATAGACAGATTAGTAAAGAAGTAGTACATGGACGTGAAAATTTGTTGCAAATAAAATGAAATTGATACATAGATTAGGACAACCCTTCCAAAAACGCTTCCAGCTCAATACGCACGTAACGCAATCACTGTCACATTTCTCCCCCAAAAGACCACCACCACTCCCCTCGCAATCGGCAAAACCAAGTCTGGTGTTCCCCTAAACCCTGTAAACAGCCGATCGAAATCCCCACAAAAGCCAAAATCAACTCTTCCAATCGTCAGTTTTCCAACGACCACCGCGGAACAGGTACCAGACAATTACTCTTCCATAAATATGTAAGGAAAAGAATAAAATAAAGTAGGGAAAGCGATTCCTTTCCCTAATTGTCGAATTAAAGAAAATATAACGAACGGGAAATTCCGTTGCGGGGACGCATCGGGATCCCCATTGACGATTCGGCTCGTGCTTGCTACGGCCGCGAAGGGTTCAGGACTCTTCAGGTCCTCGACGTCATTACGATTCTCGCCGGTGAATGCGTATATATGTATGTATGAATTTCGACGGCACTCGAAGCTGTTGGGAACCGGTTTTGGTTTTGTATTAGCATGTAACTCCGGCAGGAGTTGAAGTTGCGATGGCTTGTGGGTGGCTGGGCGAACGTAGGGAGGGTAATTACCTCCTTGGGGAGTCCCCCCCTTCCGTGGTGTAGCCGGGTATAGCCCCAGCACGGGCACAGAGGCTTCCCACTGCTCCCAGTGGTCCCGCGGGAACACTGCAGCGGCTCTCATCCTGCTGGTTCTCATTCGACCCAAATTGGATTCGGCTGCCGCTCGCGCGCAATGCTACGTCGTCTGGTATTTCTTTCATAAACGTGCCGTTGCCACGGTCCACCGAATATATGGGAAACGAGATCGAAATTCATGGGGATTGTATACAACGTGTACATGTTTGAACCATAATTTAAAATGTTGCACTCGATAAAAATAAAAATACATTCGAAAAATAAAAGAAATAGATCCGTCGAAATAAAAAGAGTGTATAAAATGATAATTAACGAATTTCAATATTCTGATACGATTTTATAAGTTACATATAGCAAAGGAAACTAATTTAGTAGTTAGCGTACGTTTTGCGAGGATATATTTGAAGAAATTTCGTAATATTTGGTCGAAAAAAATATTACGAAAGAATATCGACGAAAGAATAATATTCATTTAGGTGCGAGGACGCGGAGGTTAACGCGATTCGAAACGTTCGTTCAGCGGGAAGCTAATAAGTTAACGAACAAATTAATTACACGGAAAATATAACCATTGGTCGTTTGCGTCTGGCCACGTGGAAATCAATTACGTGATGGTGTTGAAAGAGCTTGAAATCGCTCGAACCAGCCTTGCTGCCGGGAGTCATTAGTAAAATATTCCATTCGAAATAATCATAGGCCTCCGGAAGGACTAATAACTGACAATGAGTCACCTTGTTTAATCATCGCGACACTCGCGCCTTTAATAATTCGAGTTTAAGGGGGTTTTCTATTGTATCATAGTTTCGACACGGAAAAATTAGATCAGCTCCGCCACTTAATAACATTCAGACCGAAGAGTATCCCAAGAGGGCCTGTGGAATTTTATTTTTTAGTCGATTTAATTGTAGTCGTGTGTACTTCCATACGAGATATAAAAATTAGATATATTCCATCGTATTTGAACTTTGTTAAAAAAAATGTTTTATTTAAGTAAAGCTTTTATTTTGTAGTCTGAAATGTGTTCGTTTATATTTAGACGAATTTTTACGCTAATGTGAATTAATATATTATTATATATATAATTATATTCATAGAAATATTGTTTTCACCTCGATGGAAATATTCATCCGTGAGGAGATTAAGATATTAGTTCAAAACTTTGCATTGTCATTCGTAGGGGAGACCTAAATCGAACCGTTTCAATTTAATTCGTAATATATATATATATATAAATATATATAAATATAACTTCCATGATCGAGCGTAGCGCGTTCGATTCCCCGATTCGTTCGATACAAAAGCGCGGTTTTCATCCCCCGAATCCACGAAATCGAGATCAACGTAGAACTTGTCCGAAATCCAATTCGACCTACAGTCGGAATTAATGCAAGCTTCCATAAGAAATTTATACACTGTTTAATATTTATTGCCGCGATTTCGCCAATCGCGGGAGGCGGGGGAGGGGCAAACTTCGTTCGCAAATATTTCTGTTCCGGATAAAAGCCAACCGCGAAAAAAAAACCGGAGGAGGGAAACGCCGAAAACGTATCTCGATACTTTAAATCCGAAATCGATACGGGAAACCGCAACGACGTGTTGCGAAATCGCGCGAAACCCCGTGCAAATCTAATTTTAATCGTTGCTTACTCCCAATTAAGGAGAGAAACCACACCTTGGACGCGTGAAAATCGTAGCTGCATTCAACATTTTTTTTTTTTTTTACAATTAAGCCAACGTAGTAAATCTGTTTGCTGGGGTTTATTGTACGTATATTGAATAATAATAAAATAATTGACCTGAATCAAAAATGCTGGATACTTTAATTTTCTACGTGATGTATATAATGGACGTACGTAAAGATTTTATGGTAAATTAAGAACATTTCTTGTTGCAAATATTATTGTCTGTCAATTCTGTGTTAAAAATGAAACTTTCTTTTCAAATGTTCTCCATTCTTACGAAAATTGATATATTGAAAAATTCGTATGTATTTCCGCATATATAATTCTATATATCGCATAGAAAATGAAAATACTTGGTTTCCCTTTTATATTTCTTCCTTAAATACCACAAAGACTCGTAGACATTATTCAGCCCCACAAGAATCCTTATCTCACGTACCCTGAACGCATATCGCAACTCTCTGACGACGTTAAGACACGTCTCGGTCCTTTTCATTGCTCACTCGATTCACCTGGTATTCGAGGTGATCACAGGGAAATGGAATTCGACATTTTTGGGGGAGGACGGTATCATACGTTCCGAAAAGTCGTCTTGCAAACGATTCGAGGCCTGCGAGGAGACGTCCCAGCAGGGACATCCGGCCAAATTAATTCCTGCGAAACCCGGCCGTGTCCGTGTGCCCACTGATAGGTACGTTCAAGTGTAGACACGTGGCTAACCGTGTATGGGTGTACGCACACGGGAGTGGAACGGAGAGGGGGTTGGATCCTTGTGCAACGGCGAAGTACAAGGAACAGCCATCTTTCTCAGAAAGAAATTAAACTTTTCCCGAAGGTATACTTCCTCTTTTTCTGCCGTTCGCGTTCTCCCTTGGTTGGCCTCCTTCCACCGTGGGCGTTAGGGTGGGAAGGTCGAAGGATACTGGCGCAGGACATCGTCGTAGAGCGCCGAAGGCTGCCTCGAAGGGTGGCTTTGGCTAGGCTATTGCTATTGTTTGCGG